CTCAATTGGAGTATTGTGTTCAGGTCTGGGCACCGCATTTCAAGAAAGATGTAGAGAAATTGGAGAGGGTCCAGAGAAGAGCAACGAGAATGATTAAAGGTCTAGAGAACATGACCTATGAGGGAAGGCTGAAGGAATTGGGGTTGTTTAGTTTGGAAAAGAGAAGATTGAGGGGGGACATGATAGCAGTTTTCAGATATCTAAAAGGGTGTCATAAGGAGGAGGGAGAAAACTTGTTCATCTTGGCGTCTGAAAATAGAACAAGAAGCAATGGGCTTAAACTGCAGCAAGGGAGGTTTAGGTTGGACATAAGGAAAAAGTTCCTAACTGTCAGGGTGGTCAAACACTGGAATAAATTACCCAGGGAGGTTGTGGAATCCCCATCTCTGGAGATATTTAAGAATAGGTTAGATAAATGTCTATCAGGGATGGTCTAGACAGTATTTGGTCCTGCCATGAGTGCAGGGGACTGGACTCGATGACCTCTTGAGGTCCCTTCCAGTCCTAGTATTCTATGATTCTATAACCCCTTAGTCAAATGACCGCAAATTTGGTTCACCAATCTTCTCTCTACCCTCAGAAAATACACCAAATGTCAAGATAATCTGAGTAAGCATGCAGATTTTAGAACACTCGAGAATCATCCTTTAAACCGAAAGGAGTTCCAACTTTAACTAGGTTTTTCATTCATTCACTCATATATAAACAAAAGCATCCCCCATTTCTTTCAAATATTCCTTTCTAGTCCAAAGATTTTCCTACTATCATTAAAAAGGGAGCCATGTGGTAAATCATACCAAAGGAATACATTCATTTCATGGACAATTTTTTTATACTAAATTAAGCCTTTAGTATCATATTTTCGTGCTGATTTTCTTGATGGGAAGAGGATTGGGGAGATCTAGAGGGCAATTAACCTTTTAAAAAAATGGAGTTAAAGCTAAGCCCTGCCCACCGTTGTGCTTTAAAGGAAGAACGGTGGTTAACTTCCAGCTGTCAGGCAGTACTAAGACCACCATCAGGGAAGTATCCAAGTGCACTTCACTGCATTCCTCTATCCTGAAATACTTTTTTAAAAATAGCCCTAATTTGCAAAAAGCCTTCTGGAACAAAGCAAAACACAAAAAATATGACAGAATTTCTGCTCTTCATCCTCACTCTTCTGTACCTGCAAGGACTTGATTCTAAGAATTCTGACTAAAATAAAACAAAATCTATGGGTTCACTGACAGTGTTTATGACTTTAGTATGTTTAAACAAACAATATATACTGTTTGGAGCAGCAAAGCAGAATTGCTTTGGGCAGGAGAGACAAAATGGAAGTAATGAAAGCTGCTATATTCAGAGACCTTAGATTAGTTCTCGGCAAACAGATGGCATGCCTTACAGTATCTGCAATGAACTCACCATGGCCGAAGTAATTCCAGGGCTTCAGAAAATTTATTATTTAGAAATAAATTCAGTGCCATTGAACATTCTTCAAGCGCACACTTAAGATCCATCTTAGATGCCCTAATGAAAACATACAAATATAAAAAAGGGACAATGTAAGTATTCAAAACTGTATTTGGTAGTAATCTTTGCTTTCAGAGCTAAATACAAATTGCATTACAGGCTATAATGTTTTATGCTTAGTTTGTTTAGATTCCTAAACAGCCGCTTAGGATGTAAGATTCTGCCACATTGTTTTCATTTTCAGATCTCTATAACCCCTTTTTAAAATGAGAAATAATTCAAAGAATAAAAAATAGTTAATTTCAGTAACTAATTAATAATAGCTTATTTCCTTTACATTTGCACATGTTCTAAAAGTTAATAGTGTTCTTTATTTATAATAATTGACCCATAAAAAACTGAAACAAATCTGTAAGCCATTATTTTTATTCTGTTGGTTTGTTTGTTTTTATCATAAAGATGCTGATGATTATCTTCTCTGTTTAACGTAACATATTTCATATCTTCCTAGAACTAGCAGTTAATATAGAATGCGATCTTTTTATCAATTAATATTTATACACAAAATATTTAACTAATCCAAGCTCTGAAGAATCTGCAGTATAAAACAGCACTAATACAATACACAGTACCAGGTTCCATATGGACTGCTATTTCTATGAAATTATGATATTTCTTGTGTGAGACATACAAACTGAAGTCCCTATCAACTAATAATCTAAAGGAGTTTGGTCTGAGTAAAGACATCTACTTTGGTCTTTACAAAGAGAGGCCTTCCTCTGAAAAAAAACGATTAAGTGAAAGAAGGTACCAATCATGTCAGTGAGATTAACATTCAAGTACTGAATAGAAAAAGAGGATCGGATGGAGGAATTCAAAAAAAGAAAATATTCTGAGGGCATGTCTACTGCAGCGTTATACCAAGGTGAGCGAAATATTCTGAGGGCATGTCTACTGCAGTGTTATACCAAGGTGAGCATCTATACAGCAAGCCCACTTTTTGGAAATAATTTTGAAATAATGGGCTTCTTATTTGAAAATCTGTAACCCTCGTTTCATGAGGAATAATGCCTATTTCAAAATAGTTATTTCGAAATAGGGTGCGTGTAGACAGTGCAACTGTGGTTATTTTGAAATAAGTGGCTACTGGGGCTTCTCACAGCTGTCCTGGTGGCCACTCTGTCCAGCAGGCTCAGAGGTGAGGGCTAGACTTCAGGCAAAGTGTCTCCAAGGATAACTGCCCTTCTCTTTGTTCTTTGCAGCTGGACCAGCTGTGATTGCGATGTGAGCCACTTTTCTTATACCAGCTTCCTGACCCTGCAAGACCCACAGGTGCCTCCGACCCCGTGAGGACCTTGAGCAGGAATACATAGCCTACCTCCATTCTCTACAACAATCTCTAGAGAGGCAGGACTGTAGCTTTGACGCGGACCTGGAGGAGTGCAGTGCTAACCACTACCTGGCAGGAGCTATCCCAGGAAGCCCAGAGCAGGTGCGCAGCACACAGTGCCATCATCAACCACCTGATCGCCATGATTGAGAGGTCCGGCAGCCGCCCCCTCACACCTGCTCCTTCCCAAGTTCCCCCTGCACCCACTCCTGCTCCTCCGACTTCTTCCCCTAGTTTCCTCCATGGCCACTGAGGGCCCTGCACACAAGGCAGTCAGACCACCTGAGGCAGGAGCTAGTCCCAGCCCTATCCTTGAGCCCCACATCCCTCTTTCTCTCCTTCCCCCTCCCAGGTTCTTTCCCCAATCACTCCCAGTTCTAGATTCTACCAATAAAAAGCAGGCAGTTCATTCTTTCAATAGAAAAAGGTTTTGTTTATTTTATCAGCAGAGGAAGGGAGCGGGAGGAAGTGGCCTGGATGGGGATGTGGATACCATCAATGCTCCCCACCTCCCCGCAGTTGGGGAATCCCCTGGTGGCAAAGCCAGTGGCGATAGGGTCAACATCACCTAGGATGATGACCCTGCGCAGCAGGATAGTGTTGATGGCCCTCACCACATGTAGAAGGAGATAATCAGAGAATCACAGGGTTGTCAGAACCCCCAGGAAGTCCCCAAGCCCAACCCCCCCCTTACCACACACCACGACCAATCCTATTTACCCCATCATCCGACAGGGCTTTGTGAAGGCAGGACTGAAAAACGTTCTGGGGAGGGAGCTTCCGCCACCTTCTCCCCTTCCCTAGGGAACCCCATTTCAGTAGTTAAGGACAACAATAAAAGAGTAATACCTTCACAAGCATGGCACCCACAGTCGATATCCCTGTGCCAAACTGGTTCCCGACAGAGCAGTAGCTATCCAGCATGGCGAGCTTCCAAAATGCCATGGCAAACCGCTTCTGGAGGGGGATGGTGGGTCATATGTGGGTGTCCCATCACCTGAGGACAGGGGCAAGCCACTCGCACAGCTCCAGGAAGATGTCCTTCCACAAGCAGTAGTTCTGGAGCCACTGCTGGTTGTCCCGCTGCTCCATGATGATTTGGTTCCACCAGTTGGAATTGGTGTCCTATCACCAGAAGCAGCGGTGCAGAGCATGCAGGGGAAGGCGAGAGGAGCTGTGCTGCATGAATAGCATGTGGAGAGAGGAGAGGACGGTGACCTGCAGGGAGCAGCGGGTCCCGTTCTTGCAGAGCAACAAGGGCTGCCTGCAATAACTGTACAAGGAAGTATGACAGCAGGTCTAAGAGCTGGCAACTACTTTCCAGCAGATCCAGTTCCATGGCTGGGAGTGTTATGGCATGTGCAAGGGCAACCAAAGCATGCAGTAAGATGAGTTTGCTGTCCCTCAAGGAGGTAGGCAAAGGCGAAGAGTCTGAGAAATGACTGTACAGGGGGACCCCTTTAAGCATGAGCCTCAGATAGCTTCAGGAAGTAGCTATAGGAAGTGACTGCTGTCCTGATGCCTTGCCCAAAGTGCTTCTGGAGGGGGGAGGCTTTAAATGCGATTCAGCCTCCAATCAGAATGGACGCTCTATTTCAAAATAGCTTTGCACTATTTTGATGACCATTTGCAGTGTGGACGTGCAATTTTGAAATAGCTATTTCGGGAGTTTTTATTCCGAAATAGCTTATTTCAAAATAAGCACGTAATGTAGACATACCCTTAGGCTGTGTCTATACTGGTGCGATATTGTGCCAGAGCTATGCAAATGAGGCTCAGCGTGGAATATCGCCGAGCCTCATTTGCATAACTAATGAGCTACCATTTTTGCGGAAGAGGCTCTTGCGCAAGATGGAGCTGTCTACACTGCCCCTTCTTGGGCAAGAAAAACCCTCTTGCGCAAAGCCGTTATGCCTGAAAATATCCTTCATGTGAAGGATACGGCAGTGGCTTCTTCTGTCCTGTCTACAATAGTTGGACCTTGAATCTGATGCCTGCCTTCCTCTATCTTGGTTTCGGCTATGTACTCACCAAGAGTGGTGGCACCCACGGGGACAGCACTCAAAAAAGAAGTTACTCACCTTGTTGAAGTAATGAGGGTGCTTCGAGATGTGTGTTCCCGTGGGTGCTCCATTTCCCGCCGTCCTCTCTGCTTCGGTTTCTCTGATTCTATCTTCCAGATTCCGCGGCGGACTTGAGGAACAGAGGCAGGAGCCGAACCGTGCGAGACTTCAAAGGGTGTCTACAGCTTACAGCGCGTGCCGTGCATGTGCAGTCTGGCTGACAACTGCTTAGCAAAGCTCCGAGCTGTGGTGCTGGGACAACCCGACACCAAGAGTGGAGCACCCACGGGGGGACACATCTCGAAGAACCTTCGTTACTTCACCAAGGTGAGTAACTTCTTCATTGAGCAACAGAATGGCAAATGAAATTTAATGTTGATGAATGTAAAGTAATGCACATTGAAAAAATAATCCCTACTATACATATAATATGATGGGAACTAATTTATCTATAACTACTCAAGAGAGAGATCTTGGAGTCATTGTGGATAGTTCTCTGAAAACAGCCACTCAATATGCAGTGGCAGTTAAAAAAAAGCGAACAGAATGTTAGGAATCAATAAAAAAGGGATAGAGACTAAGACAGAGAACATCTTATTGCCTCTATATTAAACCATGGTCCACCCACATCTTGAATACTGCATATAAATGTGCTTCAGGGGGTAGCCGAGTTAGTCTGTTACAGGAAAAAAAACCAAATGGTCTGGTAGCACTTTATAGACTAACGAAACATGTAGATGGTGGTTGCCTCATCTCAGAAAAGATATATTGGCATTGGAAAAGGTTTGGAAAAGGTCAACAAAACTTAGTAGGGGTTTGGAATGGGTTCCATATGAAGAGAGATAAAAAAGTGGAGACTAAAGGGGGATATGGTAAAGCTCTATAAAATCATGACTGGTGTGGGAAAAGTGAATAAGGAAAAGTTATTTATTTGTTCCCATAACATAAGCAGGGCTTGACAAATAATGCCCATGGTGAGTAGATTGCAACCCGGAAGAGCCGGGTTCGGGCAATCTGCGCATGCGCAGATCGCCGGACAGTGCGGCTGGCAAGCGGGGCTTGCTGCGGTTCGGCGGGCCCTGAACATAAGAACTAGGAGTCACCAAATGAAATGAATAGGTAGCAGGTTTAAAAGAAACAAAAGAAAGTTTTTCTTCACACAGTGCATGGTCAGCCTGTGGAACTCCTTGCCAGAGGAGGTTATGAAGACCAGAAGTTTAATGGGATTCAGGAAAGATCTAGATAAATTCATGAAGGTTAGGTCCATCAGTGGCTGTTCGGATGGGTAGGATGGTGTCCCTAGCCTCTGTCAGAGGCTGGGAATGGGTGACAGGACAGGGATCATGTGATTATTGCCTGTTCTGTTTAATCCCTCTGGGGCATCTGGTATTGGCCACTGTCACTAGACTGGATACTGGGCTAGATGGACCTTTGGAAAAGAGTCTGTGTGGAAGGATATTCCCCACTGTTTTTTCTTGACCAGTTTGGGCTTCCTTTGTTTATCTTTTCCTGTTTGATGACTTAGTTTGCTTTTAAATAGTAAGCAAAGGGAAACCCATATTCCTGGACCTAAATGCCAACTTCTGCCTGGATGGGACTATGAA